AAATTATGCAGCACTAAATTTATTTATTTAAATCCAGAAAGTAGTTTTAGACTAATTAAATAGTGCTCTTTAACTTGTCATTGAAACTTCTGTTACCTCTGCTCATTAAAAAGTTATAACATAAATGACATTGAAATTTATTTTTAAGATTGCCAAAAATGTCCCATCAGTTCTCAATACATGACTTCCTATGTAACTGCATTAACAAATAAATATATACAGTATTTGATACTTTTGGAACAAAAAAGGTGCAAGGGATTTTTGACTCACCCTGTATAAGATACTTCATAGCATTTCACTTCTTAAAAATCTTTGCAAATAAAATAGTTTTATAAGAAAAAACATTATTTCCTTATAAGACTATTTCATTTGGCAATAATAGTTAGGCAATTTATCATAGTTATTTTTGTATGATAACTCTAATCAGCATTGTCTGTCAAGGAAAAAATTTGACATATTTGATAAGCAATAATTATTATAATTATTGTGGCGTAGTAAACACTAGTATTGTGTTTTATTCCAAAGACACGTAGCTAGTTTTCCATCAAATTCCTTTATCAGTTGAGTCGATATGGTAACATGTAACATACCAGGAATAAAATTCTACAAAAGATACATTGACAACATCCTAATAATATATGACGAAACAGAAATTAATATAGAAGAAATTAACAAGCAGACAAATAGTATACATAAAGCAATAAAATTTAAAATAGAGACCGAAGATATAACAAGACAAAACATTGACTACCTAGATATTACAATAACAAGATTAAAACATCATCTCGAATATAGAACGTTCAAGAAACCGAGCTCTAACCAAGTAACAACAAGATATCAATCAAAAATCCATCATACATTAAATATAATATATATAAAATGGAATCCAAAAAGTCATAAACTGGACAAGCCAAGAAGCATACATAAACGAAGACCTAATGGAATTAAGGAAAAAGTTTCTTCTAGCAGGATTTCCACAGAGATTGCTGAAACAATGGGAAATCAGACTTAATGACCCAAGAAACCTATGTAAAAATAAAAATAAACAAGCAACTAAAACAAAATATATTAACTTCCCATATATTAAAGGTCTATATGAACAAATCAGTGCAGAAATAGAAAGAATAAACTACAAATTAGCACCATCATATCAAAAAATGGAGAACAGACTGTTAACCTTGAACCAGAAGAAAAACCAGCAAATACCGACCGAAAACCATAGTGTAGTATATAAAATTCCGTGTACCTAAGCAAACAAAAAACATTACATAGGAGAAACAAAAAACAGTAAAAACTAGATTGAAAGAACACATAGCGGGCCTAAAATACAATAGAATAAATTCTGCATTTTACGAACATTGTACTATAAACAACTGTGATGTGAGCTCATGGATTTTTACGGGGCTCTTAAAAATTTGAATTTTATTTTAAATGTAAATATCCTCGGAAAAAACCTGAAGAATTTGAACTAGATCAGATGTCGCTGATTGTACTAACAACTAGCTGGGAAAGTTTACACTTAGGTATAAAGAATGCACCATCATCATCAACAAAAGTCAATTACATGTCAGTTTTCCCACACGAACGATATAAAAGCTCAAATCTCCATAAGCTCAAATCTCCATAAGCTCGGGGTGATCTCTCAGAAGTTATACTTGTCGATGTGTGCATCTCGTCTCCTGGACCTCCATATAACGGACTCGACCCGACGAAAGGAGAAGATACCATATAGAAGACCATAGGAACTTCCACATAACATTTAATCGCCACAGAGCTCTCTTTGAGATAATTATTTGAACCTGCAGACTCTCTCTCTCTCCCTAAACGTATTTTTAGTTTAACCCTTGGAGGAAGGAGTATAGTATGTTAGCTGCATTTATTCTGAATTGTATCTAACCGCATTTAACCTATATATTGTTATCACCTTATGTATCATAGCTTAGCCATTCAATAAATGCTTTGTTATTTTGTTGAATCTGTCTCCTGTCATTTAAGGACCCCTGTCAGCTTCCTCACCCCCTTCCCACTTGATTTGCCTCTTAGCCATCCAATGACCCCGAGATCGGGTTTTACCAGCCTGTGCAGAGTAAGTGGTCATTTGGGGATTAACCAGTGACCCACTGCTATCTCACAGTAATATAGATAAAGATAACGTAGAAATACTGCATAAAGAAAAATTAACATACAACAGGAAGTTTAAAGAAACTATAGAAATAATGAAAAGTAAAGACAGTATAAATAAAAACTTAAGTCTTAAAATAAACAAAAACAGGCTTAATATATTATAAATAAAAATTTTTTTTCTTCTGTGAAAAGCAATTTCTCCTAGAAATAATTCTTCCAAGACAGATTTTAGTAAAAATCAAACCACAAGGTGGTGAACGTCATACGTGGCAACACTGAGATACCAGCACAAAAGACAAAAAGGAGGGGAGAAGGTGAAAAAGGGGGCAGAAACAGCTAAAAATTTTTAGTTTTATTGTATCAAAATCTGCCTAAAAGGGAAGATTCTGGAAGAAATATTTTAACCTTTTAATTTGTAATATATACTAGTTTATTTACAAAAGATTAAGGCAGATTTCACATGTTTTTAAATTATACAAAGTGTAACCAAAAGGTATATATATTTATATATTGTTTATGTACTCATTGTTTTATGTAAATTCTCTACTGTAATAAGTTAAAAAATATATATTGTATTTTAGTTGACTGAAGAGGGGCAAAGTCCGAAACGAGTACAAAACAATGTACCATATTGACTTAACTAGTAAAGGAATTTGATGGAAAACTTGCCATGTGTCTTTGGAATAAAACACAATACTAGTGTTTACTATGCCACAATTATAAAACAGGACACGGTTTCAAAAAACAAATCAACAAATATTATAATTATAATACAAATTTTTCACCGTGGAAATGTGAAAAATTTTTGTTGTATTTAATTATAAGTGTAAACTGCCTTTTATAGAAACTTATATCCGGCAGTATTCTTTCTTCTATTATTTTCTCATCTGGTGTTCAAGTATCTAAATACAGTAGAGCGTCGATTATCCGAAAGTCAATTATCTAAAACGTCAATTATCCGAAAGAATTCCAGTCAGCAAATTTAAATTTTTGCCAGTGCTGTGGCGCTGCAGTCTTTGGCTATGTCTTGGGCTACTTAAATATTTTACGTTTTCGATACTAAATTAACTTCTGAAGTATAATTTTTTTATTGTTTTTATATTTTTCAATATATTTATTTTGTTTGTACAAAATAAAAAAATAATTTTTAATGATACAATAGTCTTCATTAGGCTTAACATCGACGAAAATTAAACGCAAAGCTACATGCAACGGAGAAAAATTTCAACATGCGATAGGTTAATATATTTTTTCGTATATAATTGGTTATCCGAAATATCGATTTTCTGAACAACCCCAGTCCCCAATTGATTTGGATAATCGACACTCTACTGTAGTTGAAAGAACTGACAAATCATTTTACTAAAATTTTTTGATTATTTGGCAAATGCATTTTGGGTGACTATCCCTCTTCAGTGCCATAAATTCTATTATAAGTAAAAATATAAGCCTTAAAACAATAAACCTTAAAATCAAATTTATAATTATATAATCCATGGGATTCTTCCCATGCACAAATTTACTGCTTTTGGCTACTAACTCTTACAAGACTTCAAGTGGAATTTCTCCATTCTGTTATTAGTTATTGCAGCATTTGCTTACAACTTTTAAAGTCTGGGATGATGACATCAACCAACAATTATCAATTTGCATATCCATATTACAATTAATATTATTTTTATGTGTTATTATTTCTACATATTCTGTAAATTTTCTTTTATACATGTTTTTCTATAATGAATAATTTTAACATTATTTATATCAATATTACACTTATTTTTTTGTATGTTGATACTACAGTTAACTACTGTATCCAAGTTATATTGCCAGCTGGTGTTCTTTTATTCTGACTTCCAACTTTTCTTGTTTTTGTTCCAACTCCAATGCATAGGGAGAATCCCACAGATTATGTAATTATAAGTTTGGTTTTAAGTTTTATTGTTTTATGGCTTATATTTTTATTTTTAATAGAATTTATGGCACTGAAGAAGGGGTAGTCATTCAAAATGCATTTGCTGAATAATTAATTAAAATATTTTAGTAGAAAAGTTTGCCAGTTATTATATCTATCAAGACACTTGAACACCAGAGATGAAAATAGAAGGAATACTGGCAGATATGTCTTTATAATAGGCAATTTACACTTACAGATCTTGAACCTGGTCCTCTATGTAATGAATATACTGAAAAGTTTGAACAGTTTGAAAAAATAACTGTTCAAACTTTATAACAAAAATACTAAAATTCAATTATATTAAAATTGTCGATTTTCTCTAAAATTAATAATAGTTTATATAATTGCAGGTTCCTTTCAGCCCTCAAATGAATTAATGTTAAAATTTTATTCATATTATAAACAAGCAACAGAAGGCCCTTGTACAACAGCTAAACCAAGTTTTTGGGATATTGTAAATAAAGCAAAATGGTTTGTATAGAAAATTTAATTTCAAATAATAACAAAAATGAAAAAATTTAAAAACAAAAAACATCCAAAAATCCAAAAAAAAATCGTTTTTGGGGGTCCAAAAAACCGTTTGTCTGTAACGCTATGGAACTTGCCCGAGTTAACTCGAAGTAAGGGCTTAAGGTATTTATATGCTATTAAATTTTGCACGTAATATCTCAGATGGGATCTGACTTTAAAATTTTACTCTTTATTAGCATTTACAACTTTTTTAATAAAACTCATTTCTACCCTCAAAATTAAGCTTTTTTGCCATTTTTATAACGGTTAANTAATATTTAAATCTTTAACTATCTAAATTTATTTTTAATTTTTTCATATAAAAGGATAAAATAATTCAAATAATAATGGTAAAACATAATAAACATAGTACTATATTCTATGCACTATTTATTAATAATACAAAAGTATTAATGTTTTCATTGAAACCTATGGCAGATTGTGGAAACTATGTCTTACACTGAAAGTGTTGCTGATTTTATGGATATCTTGGGTCCATTTTATGAATTTGTTCCATTGGAAGACAGTGAAGCTAAGCATAATGGTAATGGTAGTCATGAATCTGATGAAGATAATGATATTCATATCAAACAGGCTATGGAAAATAGTATTGGTAAGTAATTAATAAAATTTTACCTAATTTTCCTTATTTCAAATTTTGCTCCACTATAATTTTTTTAATTCTGAAAATGAGATTAATTGTAAAGAGATAAAAATTTTTCCTTCTTTTTATGACAATTAAATATAATAATTTCTAAGTTATTGCATCAATGATTAATATAATGTATAATTCATAGTGAAATATAGTAACATCTTTAGGTAAATACTGGTTCTAATAAGTATCACCTCTAAGTCTATATGCCTTTAGAATTTCTGGTACAGTAGATAGATAATGAATGAACAAATGTTTTTGATCCTTTATCCAGATCTGCTTCAGGTTCATTGATAATTTCCAAATTTGGAAAGCCAAGAGTTTTCAAACATTTTCAAATAGAAAATTGCTTATATCAGTAATGAATTGATAATAAAGATGTGAATGCGTGAACCTCCAAAACTATATTTTAATGCTGTGTCAAATCATTGGGGGAATAATATGTATTTACTCATATGAATGGTCTTCACATGCATATCACCATGCTTGGGATATCATGTTGCTTTCCTTGAAGTTTATACATTTACCTGTTTTGCTAGCCTTGTAAATTTCTAGTGTTTCTAAGGCATTGATGCTAATGTTGTCTAAGTCAGCTTCTACATCAGGATCGGTAGCGTATGTTGCCAGGGTGGTGGTGCATCTTTTTCTATGATGTCATATTTGTATTCTTTAATCTTTTTTGTATAGACTGTTTAGTCAATCCAATGTACACCATATTTCTGTGGTACCTATGATCCCTGATTGGGACACTGTACACACCTGGTGCCCTCAAACTATCAGGTTTCCATTGAAGACAACTATGTCGATAAACTACAGGCTCGGGTAGTATGTTTCACAAAAACACCTCTTGCCTTAGCAAGATGTTGGTGGCATCTCCAGACACACCGAGGCTCTTTGCTTTTGCAAAAACACACAAACCCACACCTTCCATCAGACCAATCCTTGATAAGGCCAGATCTCCCACTAAAATCCTGGAAAACATAGTACACTGGATAGTAGCAGAACATCTGAAGGATTATCCTCTAAATGTTAGAGACTCCAAAGAGCTAATAGATACCATAAGGAGCACACAGACAACAGAGATTCCCATGTCATGTTAATGGATTCGAGGTGCTAATCCTTCCATTAATTAATGAAGGTAACATGGAAACCAAAATATACTACAAACCCAGCTTTCTTCCTTTATACATACTGGCTGATTCTGAGGACCTGTATCCATACAAGGTAGCAGCATTCAAAGCATTAACAAAATCTGCATTAATACAACTCTAGATGGGAGGACACACTCAAGGAATTCAAACAGCTAGAAGACATTGTAGTAGACCACGGATACAATAGAAACCTAATTAGAAGTTTAGCTCGGAACCACTACAGACTACATTGTAGGGGGTACACCTCCACAAAACAAGAGGAGCACAACGAAATACCTGATCAGGATCCCAAATACACTGTAATAGAATATAACAAAAACCTACATTCCCTATGTAAGGAAATAGCACAAAGGAAGGGCACAAAAATAGTTTACAAGAGGACACAAACTATTTACTCCCTATTGAGGAATGCTAAAGACACACCTGATAGTTTGAGGGCACCAGGTGTGTAAAGTGTCCCAATCAGGAACCGTAGGTTCTATAGGAATATGGTGTACATTGGATTGACTAAACAGTCTATACAAAAAAAGATTAAAGAACATAAATATGACATCACTAGAAAAAGATGCACTACTGTCCTGGTAACATATGCCACTGATCCTGATATAGAGGCTGACGTAGACAAACTAGCATCAGTGCCTTAGAAGCACTAGAAATTTACAAGGCTAGCAAAATGGGTAAATGTATAAACTTCAAGGAAAGCAACATGGTATGCATGTGAAGACCATCCATATGAGTAAATACATATTATTCCCCCAATGATTTGCCACAGCATTAAAATATAGTTTTGGAGGTTCAAGCATTCACATCTTTATTATCAATTCATTAATGATATAGCAATTTTCTACTTGAAAACGTTTGAAAACTCTTGGCATTCCAAATTTGGAAATTATCAATGAACCTGAAGCAGGTCTGGATAAAGGATCAAAAACATTTGTTCATTCATTATCTATCTACTGTACCAGAAATTCTAAAGTCTTATAGACTTACAGGTGATAGTGATATGTTGTCTTGAAAGTATATATCTAAAAATAAATTAATGTTAGATTAATATGGCCTTGCAATTTATAAAATTATTTGAGATATTGAACTTTGGCAAAGATAGTTTTTTTTTTTTTCTATTTAGTTTTATCTTGTTTAGTGTGATGAAATGAGACTATAAATCCATATTAAAAATGTTGTACAGTATTTTGTATTATTAAAATAATCTTAACAATAAAAACAGAAAATTAGAGGCCAAGAAAACTTATAGAGTTTATAATTTCATATTATTTATCTAAAACAATAACATTTATTAGTATTAAGAGAACAATATGTATTTACTAATTATAATCACAAAATTGATTTAATTTGCATACAATAATGATAAAAATATTTATTTTTCAATTTTTATTTATTTTAATGAAAAAATAATATTTAAATGGAAGAAAATTAATGTAATTTAAGATAATCTTATTTTATACATTATAATATAAATTATTAGAGTTTTGTGTAAATTAAGAGATGAATTTTGTATAAAGTTTTTACAGTGATTGGAATAATTTTATTTTTTTATTGAATAAATAAATATACATAAGATCAAAGTAAAAATTTTATCTATATTAAGAGAAAAAAAAATTTGAGATTATATATTTCGAAAGCGATAAACAGAGATTATTCATTTTTTAAATTTGAAAGGCAAAATGGTTAGATTAGATTATTCTGTATATCAGAAGTCACTTGTTGTTATGTATTTGATTCGACAGGTGTATTTATACTTGCAGCTTTTTTGGTATTTTATAATAAACTGTATTAGTCTTCATAATTTATTCAAATTAATAAGTATAAAATTATATAACAATACTTTAAAGCATACAATATTCAAAATAAACTGATATGTAATTTAATTTTTATAGATTCTTTAGACAGTGTAACAAAGTCTTTAAAAAAGCAGTTAAAAAGTAAAAAATGTAATGGTGATTTGAGAGATGGTGGAATTAATAATAGACAGCTGTCAGAAGGTATGTTGATATTATATTGAATTCTCTTTGTAACATAATTTCTGATTTAATTATTTACTCATTAAAATACATACGAAAATATATTTTAATATTAATTATTAACCTTCAATAATAATTATTTAGGGATTTAATAATTTGATCATATTTAATGCTAAAAGAAAATAGACTGAGTATATTTTTTTCATTTACATTGTTATTTAAAAATTTATTTTCTCTGCCTACTTCCAATAGAAAATTACTAAATAGCTAATTCATATATATGTTACTGCTAAAGCTCGAAGGCCGTTAATGTGTACATTACCTAGCTAATCTCCAGATTAACTATGGTGATCCATGAACATGTGGAATCAAAAGCTTTCTGCATTTTACCTAGGTAATCTGCACATTAACGGATTCCGTATTGTTAAAGTTCAAAAGTTTGTTTCTCTCATTTCCTTTCCCTACTCTTTCCCTCTCTTACTCCACTTTTAATTTGGTTTTGCCAGCATCTTGTCATCGCCAGTTGTTTTTATTTCTCATAATTTGCATTGGCTGCCAGTGCTTCGCATAACTAATTCTGTTTTCAAATTTGTTTCTGCTTGTTAGCGCGTGAATTTGTGATGGGATTTTTTTTAAAGTAGATAAATTTAACTCCTAGTATGCAAGCAAGCACCGAATTGGTGAGTAAAATGAAGAAAAAATTCTTCGCAAACCTCTTTAGTGAATATTCAAAATATAATAGTGTTTTAATGACAGGACGAAAGTATGATTCCATAATTGAAGATGTAAAGCGAATAAAAGTTTCCAAGAAGAAAGAATCATCTTGAAATTATCAAATAATTCAAGGGTATGATGTGTTGACTGTACAAGGCTGTGAAAAATTCATTGAGCTGTTGTCAGATGCGCAAGAAAGTGTGAAAAAGTTTGTCCATGCTGAAGAATTGTTTGACATATTGTATTTGACTCATTTGTCAATTGGCCATGGTGGAAGAGACAGAATGATCAAGCGATTAAAAACATTTTATAAAAACATAACCCAAGCCCAAATAAAAATGTTTTTGGATTTATGCGAACCTTGTCAACAAAAACAAAAAAGTGCGAAAAAAGGGCTTGTTGTAAAGCCGATTATTTCATCGCATTTCAATAGCAGATACCAGGTGGATCTCATCAATTACCAATCTCAACCAGATGGAAGGTTTAAGTTTCTTCTCATATATTAAGATCACTTAACAAAATTTGTTGTATTAAAGCTGCTCACATCAAAACAGACGCATGAAGTAGCATATAATTTGCTTGATATTTTTCTTCTTTTTGGCACTCCAAGTATTTTGTATTCTGATAACGGATGTGAATTTTGTAATAAAATCTTAGAATGTGTAACACAGTTGTGGTCAGAAATCAAAATGATTAATGGCAAACCTACACACAGCCAAAGTCAAGGAAGTGTAGAACGAAGGAATCAAGATATTAAAAACATGCTAATTACTTGGATGACTGATAACCAAACTAACAAGTGAAGTGAAGATGTGCGATTTGTACAATTCATGAATTGTGTTTGTCATTCTGCAATGAAAAGAAGTCCATACGAAGCCATGTTCAGTTGTCCTGCAAAAGTGGGATTGACTTCTTCTATTATACCACAAAGTGTATTACATTCGATAAATACTGAAGAAGACCTTGAAAAATTAGAAGATTTACAAGAGACTGTGATTATAGGATCACAGTCAAATATTACTCAAGATGACATTTCGTTATCCCCTGCTTCTACAGAATCACCTATAGAAATACAAGAATTTATTGACAGTAATCTTAAACTACCTTCTACATCATTGATTGAGGAATATTCAGTTATGAAGAATATTCAGTTACCCTGCACCTCCGAGGAATCACCTCTGCAAGTTGAAGAAGTCATCACTGAGTTACCCTCAACTTCAGCAGAATCGCCATCACAGTTTCGTACTGACCCTGTAAAGAGCACTGTACAAGACATAATCTGTTTTGTTTGCTCAAAAGCAGCATCAAGTGCTCACAAGTGTAAATCGTGTGATATGTCTGTTCACTTAGTTTGTGGAGAAGTAGATCCTAAAGAGGAAGGATATGGTAAGAATGTATTGTGCAACATCTGTAAAAAGAATATGGATAATATGGATCAGAAAATACAACGTGATGAAGCCAAGAAATGTTTAGAAAAGCAAGCAAAGAAAATGTTAGCAGTTTTTAATGCAAAGAACCCAAATGTCGATGAAGGTGTCACTGTGAGAATTAAAGTACCCGAAGAAGACAGATCAAACACTGATGCACGCTGAATTTTAGCTGTTGTTCTTAGTAAAACAGAGGATAGCTTTTATAAACATGGTACTAAAACGGGTATCTTAAAACAATTGTATGCAAAATCTAAATTCAGTGTTTGCAAAAAGAGATTCTTAACGAAAGAAATGTCCCTGCTATAGAAATATCTTTACGTCAAACAGCAATAAAACAATCCCTTGGTACTGAACAGGGTTTCAGAAAGTGTGACTGCAAATCTAAATGTACCACAAATAGGTGTGCTTGTCACAAAAACCAATTGCTATGTAATTCAAAGTGTCACCAAACTTTAGATTGCACTAATAAGTAAGCACAATTTTATCATATGTTTTGCAAATTCATTTCTCTAATTGTAATAATATTTTAAACCATTTGATTTTTGTATTACAGTTTATTTAATTGATTGATGATTGATTCTATCAACTAATTTGTTGATTGTTTGATTGTATTAACTTGACTCTTTAGATATTTAAAATTAAATAAATAACAATATGTTAATTTAAGCGTACAGAAACATTGCTGTTGTTCCAGCAAAAATCTTATTTTCACTTTACTGAGTGCCTAGTAGGTAATGTGCAGATTACCTAGATACTCTGCACATTATCTAGGTAATTTGAGAAATGGAATAATTTTCGTAGCTTTAATGGATCACCCTAGTTAATCTGCAGATTAGCAAGGTAATGTACACATTAATGGCTTTCGAGCATTAGTGGTAACATATACATAAACATAGTGAAATCATGACTGTAAAAGTTAAGTTTTCATATGATAGATAATATAAATATATTATTAAATGTATATATAATAATATATTTATAATTTATCAAAACATTTATAAAATTTACATTTGAAATAACTTTTGTTTGTATATTTGTAGCTTTCAATGCTCTAAAGAGCTCTAATGGTCATAAGGAAAATGGTGCAGATGAAAGTGAAACAGATGAATTCTCTGATACTTATGATCAGATAACAGAAGTAACTAGTTTTTACTTTTATTAATTATCTATTAGTTCTTTTGAAATTAGATATATAAGATACCAGTATGTTTGATTCGTTATCTAAAATAGTTTATTATAATAATTAAATTGAAAATTCTTATTCAATTCATAATATCTTACTTAAAATACAAGATGAAACTTTATATATTTCTAGGAAGAAAATGGAAATGGTATATTAGAAGTAACAAATGGTCAATTAGATTACAATTCCAATAATTTTAAAGATCATACAACGTTAAAAAGTGGTAAAATTGATCATGTAACACAGACGCGTGGTGGTGGAGATCAGAGACCTTCATCATCATCAGGTAATAGGGAATCTGGAAGCAGTAATGGAAGACCCTTTAGGAATCGTCAGAATCGAGGTATGATTTATGTATGAATATAACATATTATGATATGTAACTAATTCAGACAACACTGTCAGCATTATATATAGCATATATAATGGTTTAATTCAAGGAGCCAAATACTTTTTATTAGTAGGAACTGTAGAGATTGAAAGTGTTTCTACAAATAAAAAGTATTTGGCTCCCTGAACTAAGCAGTTTTGATATATACTTATTAAATCTTTTATGATATATTTAAATAAGTAAATATCACAGAAATCCTGATGTGATATCAAAAATTTCAGATATTGGATTACAACCTCATGTTCCATCACCAATGTATTCTAGTACTAATGTAAATCCAGGAGGAAATGGAAATGGTGAGGATGGAACCATTGGAGGAAGACATTCAGTTGATGTTGGAGAGCAGTTGGCTTTAGCAGTCATTAAATTGCAGCATACTATGGATGAGGTTGTGAATAGACTAGATTCTCTTGAAGTTCTTTTGCAAGATAAGCAGCATGATAAAAATAATCAGGTAATAATGTTTTAATGAAATTAATAGTGACTGATATATTAAGGAGAAAAAATAGAATTTGAGAATTAAACTTTAATATAATATATATTCACTATAGAAAAGAAATAAGATTTGTTTTCATGAACATTTTCTTGGATACTTTATATATACTCTTAGTAGATACAGTTCAAATGGTTTTGTTCAGAAAATGAACAGAGCTAGGAGTATAGTTTTCACTTCAAGAAACAGTGATTCTAAATTGTTAAAATGGTAAAAGAATTTTTTTTACATACTTAAATTCAATTTGTTTAGTTTTTAGTGTACTTTATACTTGTATTCAGTATTCAACATTCAATTCCTGTAAAGCATTCTATTGATTCCATTTCAATATGTTAACATAGACAATGAAGTATCTCAAATTTTATAGATGATTTTTGAATGGTAAACTTATTCCTTTGTGCATTCCTAGGGAAAGAAATTCAGAAAGATAGCAATTGATTAAAGTAAATTCTTTTGTTTCTTCACATTGACTATTGCTTTGAGTTATTCCAATAACTGCATTATCTTTTCTTGAAGATTAAAGTTCAAAATGACATGAATCTTGTAACAGGAATAACTCAGCCATTCACTATATACAAAACTACTTTCTGCTGAATCAAATCTGCAACTTTTGAAACAATTATTTCAATGCGTTTTTAGTACAGTGGGGCCCACCAGTGGTCGAGGGATAAAACTACACATAAAAGACCTTCCGGTAGGCATTTCTCCCCCCTCAGTAGATTACCATGTATTGTGTTGCTGTAATTGAATAAAACTAGTACACTGATGCACCCAGAGGGGGCCAAAGGGCCTACCATTCTCCAAAGAAAAATGGGGGGAAAAACTATAAAATTTGCCTAATTCTTTTCTTTATTAAAATTCATTGTTTTATTTATATTGTGTTGTGTCTTGTATTCCTATGCTACTTATGAATTAGTGGTGACATAAGTGGGAATTTTATTGATTTTATTGCATTCACTTTTAGATTAATTCATAGAATGTTTAACAATGGATTTTTTTCAAAGTACAATAGAGCATCGATTATCCGATCCCCTGATTAACCGTCATATCAGTTAACTGACCGTTCTAGTCGGCAAATTTCAAATGTCTGCTAGTGATAAGGCACTACAATATTTGGCTATGTCTTGGATACTTTAATATTATTTTTGTTAAATGTTTGCTTGTTTTAGCTGGCAATACTGGCTCGACCATTGAAGGGAGGCCAGTATTTAAATGAGACTTAATTTTCTAATTATGAGTGGTTGTTTGTTTTGTGAGCAATAAAATAATTTAAAAATAATATTTAACGATACAATAGCAATGATTATTATTTAAAAAAAAATTTTGTTAGGCTTAACATTGATGAAAATTTAACACAAAATAGGTTAACGATATACTAATATATTAATTAATAGCGATTTACTAATATCCTAATTACATGGGATATACTAATAATGTATTTTTTTTTGTTCTTTTCGGTTATCCAATTTTTCAGTTATCCGACCAACCTGAATTCCCAATTGAGTCGGATAATCGATGCTCTACTGTATACATAAACAGCATAATATGTATAGTTCATTGAAGTTTAGAATTTTCAAACATCAAACCTATGATTGGAAGTTCACATAATCAGTCATGTTATGGGAAATAGGCTGGTTTTAGAGCTTTGTAACAAGTAATCTACAACTCACAATTTACCTCAGTTTATTACCCTAGTAAATAGATAATTTTGATTTTGGTTTTGATTTCATTTTAGTTTCATTAAAGGGATGCAATATTAACTGCCATTTTCCTCCAAAGTTTTTGTAAAAAATGCTTCTTATCCTTTTAATTCTTTTTTACAAGACACACACTGCCACTCTGATTGTAATACTACATGTAGTACAGTAGAACCTCCATTATCCGGATCTCCATTATCCGGATTTTCGATTATCTGGATTGTTCAAAATAAACAAAAATTTTACGAATTTGCTGATTTGCACTTGGCAAATTACGACACTGTTTATGTACATGATGGAATGCATAACTTTTTTTGTTTCAACAACATCTCACCCAGCACAGTTGGTCCTAAACTCTTAAATATATTTTACGTAGTAATAAAAATATAACTTGACATACGTATTTATAAATAATTTATATTCAAATTTCATCATTTCTATGACCACGGGCGGCGTAAGGCATGGACGACGTGGGCCATCGCCTATGCCTTGCGGTCCGAAGGGCCTCGCGCCTCGAAGGTTTATGCATTACTTAAAAGCTGTGAACACGACAAAAAAATTTTACTCGTCATAAAACTATAAATAGTTTGTCAAATTTTTATTCATAAAAATTCTGTTTCAACTGCTGTTTATTTTATAAAATCCGTCTTCTTGCGCCACCAGAGGGCCTTTTAAACAATAGGTAGTCTGTTAGCATTGGTTAGTAGTAGTCCAAATTCAATACAAACGTTTGTATCTTGAAAATTTGATCACAATTTAAATACAGTATTTATTTTTAATATTACCGATATGTCATCGAAAAGAAAACGTGTTGTATTATCATTAAAAGACAAATTAAAGTATTTGTTTCGATTATCCGGATTTTTCCTTATCCGGACTACCTTCATCCCCAATTAGTCCGGATAATCGAGGTTCTACTGTACTTAAATTTATAGGGTACTCATCATCGAAAGTGAAAAATACTTTTATACTTTTGACAAACCTTATTAATTAAGAAAGTATTTAATAGATGCATAACTGCTATCAAAATATATGCAGATTACAACAAACTTTTAAATAAAAATGTGCTGTATATGCTTGAAATTATCAATTTAAATCTTTGAAATGAGAGAGGAATAATGATAGAACTTCTGGTTTGCTGGAGTATTTGATTGGCATCACATAGATCATATGCTGCAGATGAAAGAGATGAAAATGTATTTAGTTAATTCAATATGTACAGTACTCTATATACATTTATTGAACTGGCAAATAGAATACATAGAAAATAGATATGTGTAGTATGTGTTTCATATCTATATTTATGTATTAAACAATTCTTCTTCTTAGCATTGTCCCACAGATATAGGGTCCACTATTCAGATCTTCAAATGCCACTTTGTTCGATCAGTGCATCATCTGGGTTCAGGTGCAGAGCCCTTAGGTCTTCATTGATAGCATCTTGCCATCATTGCTTTGGTCTTCTGCATGGCTGGCGGCCATTCACCTATATATAGTAGGCAATATTGGCAACTGTATCTGGGGCTGATCATTGGACGTGGCCAAACCCGCACAGGCGTATCTCTCTCATTTTTGCCTCAATGGGTGCAATGCCAAATTGTTGGCATATCGTGTCATTGGTGATATGGTCACAAGGAGGGATACACCAAGCGTCCTGCAAGCCATGCGTATCTCCATTCCGTGGAGATGCCGTTTGCTGCTCTCGTTGATGGTCACCATTGGAACCATAGATGGGTTGTACCATAATCTGGTAGATTTTCGATTTTAGATACATGGGCATCTTTTTGTCGCAGAGAACACTGTGACTTCTCACCATCATGCTGCATTCACCCTCATTCATACCTTGTTGTCAATGCCTCCAACACTCTGTAGGGTTGAGCTGAGGTATTGAAAATTGTGCGTTTTATATAGTTATCACCGTTGACCTGGATCATGCCCACATTTGGAAAAATTTCTAGATATTTGGTTTTCTTGGTGTTAAGGCACAAGCCAAGGCAACTAAGACAGTTGCTCCAGGCCTGCACCTGGCACTGTAGCTCTTCTTGAGTGGTGGTTGCAAGCATGATGTCATCAGCATAAAGCAGTGTCCAAGAGACATCGTTCTGTATATTCTTTGTGATAGTGTCTATGATGAACGAATAGCAGTGATGACAGTGCGGAGCCCTGATGAATGCTAATGTTCACTGGGAAGTTGTCAGATGTACCAGTTGTGCACTTCACTCGGCTGCTGGTATTTGCATACAGCATTCTGACCCAGCTGATGAGGTCCTCAGGCACTCCGTGGTTGTGGAGTGCATACCAAATGAGCTGGTAGGTACATGGTCAAAGGCATTTTCCAAGTCAGGAGGGCGACGCGTAGTGGTTTATTTTTCTCCCAGTGTTTCTCCATCAATCTGTGGGTTGTGAAGATTGCTCCAGTAGTTCCACAGCCCCTCACAAAGCCACACTGGCCAACACTGATCCAAACAATGTCATGCAAACTTTGGTCAATAATGCACTCAAAGATTTTCATGGTGTTAGAGAGTAGGCATATTGGCCGGTAGTTGGAGCATTCTGCTGGATTGCCCTTGTTCTTGAAGACCAGTACAATGATACTTGTGGACTAGATCACCGGAGGTCGGCTGGTGACTACCACAGCATTGAAGAACACAGTTAGTGAAGTTGTAGCCTCAGTGTGCAGGTCCTTGAGCTTCCAGATGTTGGCTGGCAGGTCATCTGGTCCTGGTGCCTTCTGGTTCTTCATACTTCTAATTGCCGCAGACACCTCCCCAGCCATGATTTGAAGGACTGGCTCAGAGCAGAAATCAGTGGATGTGGGAATTCAATGTTTGAGATTTCATCAAAATGTTTGCACCTGCAGCTCAAGATTTCCTTCTTATCCTGCAGACGCCATCCATTCTTATCCTTCACACACATGTAGTGCTCGATGTCTCACACAGCCCTTGTTCACTCTTTCACCTGTTGGTAGATGTTGTTCTCACTTTCCTGTGTGTCAAGTTGCTCGTAAAGATCTCAATGATGTTTGGTCCGCGCTGCAGCCACCGCTCTCTAAGCTTCCCCCTTGGCTGCAATGTACCGCTGCCAGTTTTCGTTGATCTTATTGGCGAACCAAGCTTTAAAGGCTATCTTCTTTTCCTGCACCTTTTGTTGTACTTCTTCTGTCCAAAGCCATGTCTTCTTATTGATTTGCCGACTACCTACATTTTTGATGCCAAGGGTTGTCCTTGAAGCTGTGATGATGGAATCGTGGAGCACATACCACATTGCGTCAGTTGAGGGTCCGTTGGCTTCAGGGAAGATAATGCTGTTGATCATGGCAGCTTCATGTACCATGGCAGCAACTTCCACCAATTAATCATCATCAGCCCTCTGATGCAGCTGCCCTGACTTTGTGTGTGATCTTCATGTTGATGATTAGCAACTTATGCTGTGGGCCAGACAATCGGATGGAATGACCTTTACATCGGTGATGCTATTGTTGAATTCATGTCTCTGTGCCAGCATGTAGTTGATCTGGCTGTAGCTGTTTCCACTGGTGTAGGTAACCAAATGATTCGTGCATTTCTTGAAAAGAGTGTTGCAGACAACAAGGTCATTAGCTTCTGCTAAGTTAAGAATTCGACAACTGTCATTGTTTTGTGTACCATATCCAAAGCTGCCATGGCAATCATACCTATTCTTGGGCTCCCAACATGGCTATTTAAGTCACCACACCATGAGCATATCCTCCATAGGGCACGATGCTACATGGTCATGTAGATTCCACCAATACTGCTCCTTCTCCTCCTCAGCATATCCTGTTTGCGGAGCATATGTTGAGAAAATATGCAGTCAGCAAGTACCTATGTCAATGATAACGGACATGATTTACTTCTGTCACGCAAGTCAGGGCTAACAATAGTACATAAGTTTAATAAACCAATCATAGATGTCATGTGACTTCTCTCTCTTCCAATGTGTTTCCTGCAGGCAGGCAATGCTCACATTAAAAATGTAAGTATATCGGCAAGCTCGGTTAATGTTTCAGTGTTGAGTGTAGTGATTCAGATCGACTTTGGTTTAGTTTTCAAGTTTGGGTTCATGTTTGGGTAGGCTAGCTTCTTAAACCGGTTCCACCCTTTAACCGGTAGCCCTTGCAAATTTTTCACGCTGGCCAGGTGTGGCCAACACACATTGCCTCTGGAGTACGTCCTAGCATTCGAATGTGATTCTAAAAGTGACATTTCTGATCCTTGGGTTGCAACAGGAGTTGACCAACTGGCTTCTCGCCACAGCCTGACGTTGGGTCCGTGTTCAGCTTACCACCACCTTACAGGTGGGCAGTCTCTAACAGCACCACTTTTAAACAAATTCTTAATCTTTTAAAAAAAATAAATAAATAAAAAATAAATTATATATTAAACAATAACTTAATAGAAAATACAATTTACAGAAAATTAAAAGTTATTTAACATGGATGCTGTATTTAAACCATATAAAACTTTCTTGGACATTCCATAAATTGAAACTTAAATTATCTTTTCACTATTATATTGAAAATATAATCTTAATTTTGTATTTTATTATGTATAAAATATAAAATAAATTTTATATTATTTTAGGAATCATCTGATAAAAGGCTATTATGGTCTTTATTTGGTCTTTCTCCTAGTGCTGCAATGTTCATTGTTCTGTGGCCATTTGTTGCACATTGGATTATTAACATCATGAGAAGAAAAAGACAAAGATAATGTATATAACTCAATTGTTTTTACACTTTCTCATTCATTCCACAAACTAGTTTTATAAGAAAAAAAAAAGATCTGTATCTATACAGATATACAATGTAACTCAGTGTTGTTTGGTATTGGGATATTTGTTAATTGACTGAATTATGTATATAAAGTATTATATTATTTATGTAAACTTTGTGTTTATATAAAATTCTATATAATTATTACTGTTTATACATCAAAAATTAAATATTTCACAAATATTTAAAATGTGAGATTATTAAAAATATTTAATATGTATTAGAGTTGTACAGTACATAATGTAAGAAATTATATTGTCTAGTTATTGAGTTCTGAATTTGATTTAATCAAATATACTCTTATTTTGATTTTATTTTTTATTGGCTGTATACAACTATGCATTTGAAATTAATTTTAAGAAACTTTTTGAAAAATAAGAACCACACATTAAATATTTACACACAAAAATTATTTTAGTTTTTCTGTAGATCATTGCAATTTACTATAACAAATGTAGAATAAATTCTCACATGATCAAAAGTTTGCAATACAATAGAAATCTTTGTATATTAGAATCTCTATTAACTATAAATATGAGAATTGTTAAATGCAACTGATTTAATACATAATTTATTAGAAATTGTATAAGAAATTTAATTCCTTGAAGGAAATCCTACCTTGTCAAAAATTCAATAATTAAAAGGAAAATTTTTGTATTAAAATTGTATTATTTAACACAATGAGAAACTTATAGTAAATATATTCATAGTATTATATTATTATGCTGAAATAAAATTGTTGATTTCTGGAATTATATTGTCATGTTTTCATTGTTAAATTAAAATTTAATTTAAAACTTGAATTATCTTGTTTGTGATTTGCATCATTTTTTCATTAAAAAGAAAAGAAAACACATCAGGTATCACAGAATCAGTTAATATTGTATTGAATATTATTTTGAAATACTGTACTACTATTTTTTTGTTGTTCTTGTTGCTGAATTCTGAAATGTAAACTTCAAATGGTCAAAATATGTTAACGATAAACCATTTAATAAATGATCTTCTGAGAGTATATGAAACCATTATAATAAGGATTATGATGGATTTAGTAATCATATATATCATCAATTTTGATATATAGAATTCAAATATAATCTATTAAATGCTATCGTCCAATCAGTAACACTTATTTATTTGAAGTATGTTAATAGAATTTTTAATACAAATTCTTTTCTGGCATAGCTGTACTTTTCCAATCAATCAACTAAACTTGTTTTTCAAAAATCTCATTTTAATTATTCATGCTTCAAATGTTTAATGTACATTTTTAAAATTTTTTATTCAATCTAGATTATTTCCAAAAAGAATAATTGCCGAAATACTTTTTTGGTGAATAATTTAATTATTCTATCTGAACTTTTGAAATTAATTTATAACTTTGGTACATAAATGAGCAATTGTTTGTTCCGATATCGTCAGGATGCCAGGCTGCAACTTTTAATCATATTTTTAATTTATTTAATTTAAAATATATGATCTCCATCTCAAATTAGTAGTGACTTGCTTCGCTACTAATTTGTGTACATCATACTTTTTGATTAATGATAGAGTCAGTGCCAGTCATCTATGTTACTTCATTCAGGGAAAAATTTTTGAATTGAAATAACATGACTTCCAGTTTGCATCAGAAGTTCTTATATAGCTAATTGCAGACTCCTGCTCCTAAGGTTTCCACGTCTCAGATTACATCTATCTAACTCTTCTCGAGATTAAGGAAAGACAGAGGGACAACAGACATAAATTTCCATAGGAGGACGACCTTCTGCCTGTTGCCTGCCTGCCTGTCTGGCCTTCCTTAATCTCGAGAACGGAGTTAGATAGATGAAATCTGAGACGAGATGTGGAGTCTGCAATTAGGCTATATAAGAACTTCTGATTCAAGCTGGAAGTCATGTTATTTCAATTCAAAAATTTTCCCCTGAACGGAGTTAGTGTCAAAATCCTTCCAATGTTCCTACATACTATAGAAAAATAGCAAAAACTATTCTATATGCGAAAGTAACCGGAAAAGGAAATAAATCAGCTGTAAGATTATTACAATATTCACATAATAGCAAAAAATTAAAATAATTTCTGTATTTTTTAAATATCTATGATGTATAAATTCTGCTTGTTGCATTGGGATTTTGACGTATAAACTTTTTTTTATAACATCTACGTTAAACAATGTAATTTGGTGCATATTAACGAAATGATAGCATATAAATATGAAAAAGCTGCTGCTTGATATGTGTCATCTTGAAGAATCTTTGCAGTGATAAGAAACTCTGTATTGTGGACCTGCTGAAGTTTTTCTGTTGAGAAAACTGCATTAGAAGTTGGTGTTGGAGTGTATCCAGAATAAAAAATAGTGACTACCATATCACGAAGATTAAGAGCTGACAAGAAGAAAACACTGAGTGCCAAAACAAACGTTTGATAACGAGTGGACGTTGCGATACATCACAAGTAAACACGGAATTGAAACATGGCTTAGGAATAGAAGTGAGTACTACAGTACAACTATTCGCAGATGCTTAAAACGTATCAATTTGAAAGCAATGAGTTAAGCCCAAGAAGCCTAAACTTACAAATTACATAAACAGAAACATCTTAATTTTTCCAAACGTTATAAAGACTGTAACTTAGAAGATTGGAAAAGGATTGTATGGTCATATGAATAAAAAATTAATAGAGTTGGTTCAGATGGGCGAAAATGGATTTGGATTACATCTATGAAGTCCATAACTGAGCGAGAAGTACAAACAACATTGAGATTTGGTGGTGGTAGTCTTGGGCTACGGTTACTGTGGATACGAATTCTGACGAAATCTTGACGGGTTCGTCCGAACAAACAAATACCTGTTTTCCGATGAGAGTGTTTACTTTGGCAGCGAAGGGCATGTCAGAACACGTACGATGTAGTCAGAACCATTCGAGCGTTCAAACGAGTTTGATTTTTTCGTGCGTTCTGACGTTGAATTTCGAGTGTTTTGGTTTTTTCAACATGGATATTGATAAATTGATTAGTCTTGTGTTCGAGAATAGGAATGAAAGACAGAAACTATCACAACAGACATAATTGGAGTACTTGGCGATTCTTTCTTCTATCCCCTTCAGTATATATTCAAATGTTGTTGGTCTCATTCTGAAATACTCGAAAATCTTTTGCGGATTGCCCCACAAATCTTGATATAACATTTGAAACTCTCTTATCGTCACCTTGTGGAAAATAAGTGGTTAACATGCTCTGTTTTTCCATCACCTATCAACAATAACTTAATCAACGGACTTTCAAGAAAGTAAAACTCATCAAGTTCGTCCATTTTGCTGGGAGGCAGAAACGTACTGACTATCAGAAAACGCGAACAGTGTACCCACCTTGTTCTGACGAGGATTTCGGACATACTCGTCAGAACAAGATTTCGTCAGAATTCGCATCCACAGTAACCGTAGCCTTATGGTCTGGGGTTTTATTACTTATTTTGGGCCTGGAATGCTGTTCTATACCAATAGAATGGCTAGCGTTACTTACACTTGAGATACTTGACAATTATTTGTTACAATCTGTTGATTATTACCATGTTAATAAAAACTCTTTCATTTATCAGCAAGATAATGATCCAAAACACATCCAGGAAGGCAATGTCATGGCTTCGGGATCAAAATATGAGCCTGCTTGAGTGGTCGCCTCAATTGCCTAGTCTGAACCTGATTGAACACATCTGGTCTCTTCTTTAACGTCTCTTGTTTGACTATGTGGCTCCTGAAAGCATCCACAAATTATGGGAACGTATACAGGATGAGTGGAACAAAATAACATTGCATGATTGCAGGAATATTATTAATTCTAAGGCCCGATCTCATTAATTCTAATTGCCCGATCTCATTGGGGAGATTTTAAGGGCCAAATGAGGCTATACTGATTATTGAAGTTTGCTTTTTCCACAGATATGATATAAATTTTTGTCTGCATCAAAAATTTCCCAATGCATACGTTTTTTGTATGTTACTATTATTAATAAAATAATTACGTTGTTCAGATAATTACAGTATATTAACATCAATATTAAAATCCAAAATGTACAGTTGACAAAGAGTTTAAAAAAATCCATTAAAATATTTGATATTTTTATTCTGCTCTCCCATCTTATATTGCAAATTTCAATGTTAAACCAGTGTTATTACGATTTCGTATGTCCCATCTATAAGGGGATGTAGAAAAAAGTGTACAATTCTTGTACAATGTTAAAAAATTAACTCTTACTTTGGTAGCATCATTTACAACTAAATTTAATGAAAGAGAGATGCACGAGGAATAGAAAAAGCTATATAATTTATTTTCCTTGCATTTACGATTTATGTATCGTCTGTCATAAAAATTTGTCTTCACTTTTTTCTGAGAATACAAATATTCGAGTACAAATTAACCGGTTTCGTCTTATTTCTATTTAAAAAGTAGTTAAATAATTAAGAGATTAGGGAATTGGGGACATAAACAAAACCCTGCTGAAAGAGCCGAAATTTTACTTAAACAAAAGCTTAACCGAACCAATCTCTAGCCGAGTACAGCGAGGACTGATTACATCGTAATATTAGATGTAATAAAGACAGAAGTTTTTCCAGTTCAATGAAAGTGACTGAAAAGTTGTAAATTTTGGGAATTTCCGTGGACACCTTTCGCCTTGGAAGCTGTTCCGTATTCGACATGACATGGTTTCTATTGAGAACATGCATATACGAATTTATATTCGAATATACAATAGTAATCTTATCTGTGTTACCACTCGTCCGGTTTTCGCCCGGACAGTCCGGGAATCGACTCACTGTCCGGGTGAACTATTAATTTTGTCCGGGAATATCGTGCGCGACCTGTCGACCTTGTTTTTTTTATTTTTTGCTCTTACGATCGATTCGTATTCGTACACGTCTCCAATATCCGATAGAGCTAGGTCATCTGTAGTTGTTTTTTTCTTAAATTAGTTACAGTCGACTCCCCTATAACGTGGGTTCC